GACGGCATTATTTTTGAGGGTGTCCCTAGCGAAACGCTTGGTTTTCAGAATTTGTTGAGGATGTCTCGAGCGAAACGCTTGTTTTGTGTTATGGATTGTCTTTTCCCGGGGACCAGAATTTAGAGGATCTCTCAAGTGAAATGATTGGTTTCACGTGCCCAGGTCTTGCGGATGTCTCGAGCGAGACACTTGGTTTCACGCCTCCAGGTTGCCCAGGCAGAGGTCGAACGCCAGGATGTGTTGAGGATGTCTCGAGCGAGACGCTTGGTTTCACGCGCCCTCGTCGCCCAGGCGGATGTCTAGAATGAGGAGGTGTTGAGGAAGTCTCGATCGAGATGCTTGTTTGCACGTGTCCAGGTTGCCCAGGCGGGTGCTTGGCATGAGGATGTGTGTGAGAGTGTTTCGAGAAGAGATACGCTCGTTTTCACGTGTCCAGGTTGTCCACGCGGATGTATAACATGAAGATGTGTTTAGGATGTCTCGAGCGAGACGTTTGCTTTCACGTCTACAGGTCGCCAGTGCGGATGTATAGAATGAGGAGGTGTTGAAAACGTTTCGAGCGAAACGCTTGTTTTCACGTGCCCAGGTCACCCAGGCGGACGTCTCACATGAAGATGTGTAGAGGATGTCTCGAGCGAACTACTTGTTTTCACGTGTCCTGTTCGCCCAGGCGGATGTCTAGCATGAGAATGTGTTGAGGATGTGTTGAGCGAAACGTTTGTTTTCACGTGTCCAGGTCGCTCAGGCGGATGTCTAGACTGAGGATTTTGACAAGATGTTTTGGGCGAGGCGTTTGTCCCAACACGTTCCGTAGCGCGTCCCCTTGGCACGTCCCGCGGTGCGTCCCCATGGGACGTCCCTTGGCATGTCGCCTGGCGCGTCCCTTGAGACGTTCCGCGGCGCGTCCTCCTGGCATGTCCCCCTGTCAATTAGCTCTGCGGCAGATGCTATGTGTTCAGGCCGCTCGAGCTTAAGATCCATATCAGTTCGGTCAGGACTCGGATGCAAAGGAGGACTCGATCCACGACGCTATCGAGCACAATCGCGGCATGGCCCATCGCAACTCAGCACGGTGCAGCACAGCACAGACTTCGGCACGGTACATCAATATCGATACAATCAGCATTGCAACTTGGCGCGTTCCTTGGCACGTTCCGTGGGCCGTCCCTTGGCGTGCCCCCCTGGCACATCGCGTGGCGCGTCCCCTGGCTCGTTCCGTAGCGCGTCCCCTTGGCACGTCCTACGGTGCGACCCCATGGCACGTCCCCTGGCACGTGCGTCCCTTGAGACGTTCCGCGGCGCGTCCTCCTGGCATGTTCCCCCTGTCAATTAGCTCTGGGGCAGCTACTATGTGTTCAGGCAGCTCGAGCTTAAGATCCATATCAGTTCGGTCAGGACTCGGATGCAAAGGAAGACTCGATCCACGACGCTATCGAGCACAACCGCGGCATGGCCCATCGCAATTCAGCACGGTGCAGCACAGCACAGCCCTCGGCACGGTACATCAAGGTCGATACACTCAGCATTGCATGTGCCCGTCGCCCAATTAGGTGTCTTTGAAAACGTTGCCATGCGCTACGTTTCCATGTTCCTTTCCGGGTTCGTGGGTCGATCATGTTTTTGCCATTGGGTTTTGGAGTTCAACGTCGTTCCCTTCGTATCAAATATATCAGCGGCATGCCGCCGCCGCGCGCGCGTTGGCGATTGGCATTTCTGCATTCGGTATCGTATATCCACATTGGGATGTTCCCGTCTTCCGATCAGAGAATGTTTTTTTTTTTACATTGGGTTTTCTCCATTGGGTTTTGGAGTGCAACATCGCTCCCGTTGTATCTGCCCCTGCACGCAGGGCCCCAGGGCGGTCGCGGGGGCGTCTCCAGCGATCCAGTTTGCCCCGCCCCCCTTTTGTTTTCTATAGGCGCACTGCAGCGCTGGGAAAACAATGTTTTAAACTGTCTCCCCCGAATGATTTTTCACAGTTTTAAGACATTGCGAACGCGCGCAGACTCATTGCGAAAAGTCGGGCAGCCCGCTCCGCCGATCGGCAGGCGCGATGTGCGCGGACAGGTCGAAGGACGGCGCGGAATGGGGGGCGGCAGTCTTGTGGGCGGAGAAGGAGTCCTGAGCGGGCGGGCCCAAGTGGAATTGGAAGTGCCGGGGCAGCGCTCGCTGCGGTGAGGCGTTGCGAGCGCGAGGCGACGGGCGAGGGCGCGGGTCGGGGGGCGCGCGTAGACGGACGCGGGCGGGGTCGACGCTGGCCAGGGCGCTTGAGGTGGCTTAGCCGAGGTGAGCCCGAGCGCCACCATCTCCGTAGCGCGGGGAATCGCCGGTGCTGGCGGTCGGGGGGATTCGAATGGGGGCATCGCGGGCAGTGGGGCAGCGCCGCCAGTCGCCATGGCTTGGGGGGCCGCAGGGGGGCTAGAACGGAAGCGGCGGCGGGGCGGAACTGACGGCGGCGGGAACGGTTGGGGCGTTGCGCAGGGAAGATTTGTTTGCTGCGTGGAAGGGTGGGTCCAGACCCCCCCCCCATTTTGAAAGGGGGGAAGGGGGGGGACCTTGACGAAGGATCGGGAAGGGGGGGGGGGGCGTCCCCGACGACGGATCGGGGAAAGGGGAGAGGAGGGGGGGAGGGGTCCCACCCCCCCTTCCTTGGGGAGATCCAGCGGCGCGCCCTCGTCAGTTAGCTCTGGGGCAGCTACTACGTGTTCAGGCAGCTCGAGCTTAAGATCCAAATCAGTTCGGTCAGGACTCGGATGCAAAAGAGGATTCGATCCACGACGCTATAGAGCACAATCGCGTCATGGCGCATCGCAATTCAGCACGGTGCAGCACAGCACAGCCTTCGGCAGGGTACATCAACATCGATACACTCAGCATTGCATTTGCCCGTCGTCCAATCAGGTGTCTTTGAAAACGCTACCATGCGCTACGTTTCTATATTCCTTTCCGGTTTCGTGGGTCGATCATGTTGATGCACGAGTGGGTGCGGACACGTTGTTTTGCAGTGGATGGCGTGTGTGGGGGTTGATATTTGCTTGGCTGGGATGGTATATTTCGTTTTTAGGATCGACGAGGGGTCTGGATAATGATTGGATTCGCAAGCGAAAGTAATAATGGTTAACTCTGGGTGGGTGGCGGTTTAATATTTTTCCTGGAAAGGGCGGTGGCCCAGGGTTTTCTTTCAGTAGGTTTATTTCCTGTTTCGACCGCTGTAGGGTGTCTCGAGCGAAACGCTTGTTTTGTGTTATATATTGTCCTCTCCTGTGGACCAGAATTCGGATGATCTCTCAAGTGAAATGCTTTTTTTCACGTGACCAGGTCTTGAGAATGTCTCGAGCGAGACGCTTGGTTTCACGCCTCCAGGTTGCCCAGGCAGAGGTCTAGCGCCAGGATTTGTCGAGGTTGCCTCGAGCGAGGCGCTTGGTTTCAGGCGTCCTCGTCACCCAGGCGGATGTCTCGCACGAGGATGTGTTGAGGAAGTCTCGATCGAGATGCTTGTTTGCACGTGTCCAGGTTGCCCAGGCGGATGCCTAGCATGAGGATGTGTTGAGGATGTCTCGAGCGATACGCTTGTTTTCACGTGTCCAAGTCGCCTAGGCGGATGTCTAGAGTGAGGAGGTGTTGGCACGTTCCGTAGCGCGTCCCCTTGGCTCGTCCCGCGGTGCGTCCCCATGGCACGTCCCCTTGGCACGTCGCTTGGCGCGTTCCTTGAGACGTTCTGCGGCGCGTCCTCCTGGCATGTTCCCCCTGTCAATTAGCTCTGGGGCAGCTACTATGTGCTCAGGCAGCTCGAGCTTAAGATCCAGATCAGTTCGGTCAGGACTCGGATGCGAAGGAGGACTCGATCCACGACGCTATAGAGCACAATCGCGTCATGGCACATCGCAATTCAGCACGGCGCAGCACAGCACAGCCCTCGGCACGGTACATCAAGATCGATACACTCAGCATGGCAACCAGGCACCTTCCTTGGCACGTTCCGTGGGGCGTCCCTCGGGGAGCCCCCCTGGCAAGTCGCGTGGCGCCCCTGGCACATCCTGTGGCACATCCATTGGCACGTTCCGTAGCGCGTCCCCTTGGCACGTCCCGCGGTGCGTCCCCATGGCACGTCCCCTGGCACGTCGCCTGGCTCGTCCCTTGAGACGTTCCGCGGCGCGTCCTCCTGGCATGTTCCCCCTGTCAATTAGCTCTGGGGCAGCTACTATGTGCTCAGGCAGCTCGAGCTTTAAGATCCAGATCAGTTCGGTCAGGACTCGGATGCAAAGGAGGACTCGATCCACGACGCTATAGAGCACAATCGCGGCATGGCCCATCGCAATTCAGCACGGCACAGCACAGCACAGCCCTCGGCAGGGTACATCAAGATCGATACACTCAGCATTGCATGTGCCCGTCACCCAATCGGGTGTCTTTGAAAACGTTGCCATGCGTTACATTTCTATACTCCTTTCTGGGTTCGTGGGTCGATCATGTTTCTTTGAACAAGGGCTAGGCGGCGACGGGGCGGCCATGGCGGCCGCATAGCCACCAGACTGGAGACGCGGTCCAGTTCCTCAGAAAGTGCAAGCACTGCTTGGGGAATCTATGTAGATCGGGGTAGGCCGGGGGGCCGTCGAGGGAGCCTACTGCTGTGTCTTGCGGTTTTGGGCCGCTTTTGTCCCGTCTTGGCCTGGCGGTTTCTTCGAGACCTCTTGAGGCCTTCTTGGGCCCTCCTGGACAGCTTTCCCGGTCTGCCCTGAGGTTGCGATGGATCAGCTGTCTTTTGATGGGGAACGGAAGTCTGGGACCGCACCGTCCACGCTGCGCTGGGGCAGGGAATCCCGACCGCGGCCGCGTCCGCCCCTCACTCGCTGGGCAGCCAGGCGGCGCTTGATGTGACGGGACGTCCGTGAGTGGCAATGCTTCTTACGATCATTCGTTTTTGGCTCAGCTTTTGCAACTACTGTGGCTACTAGTTCTCATCATTTGTTCCTTCTTCCTCGCTCGATTCTTGCCTGAAGGTGCAGAAGATGATGGAGGGAGCCGACGGCCAGGAATTCGCGGGAAGCTTCACCACTATGCAGGCGCCCAGCGTTGGTGAACGGGATCGGAGTGCTGTTTTTGTCTCTCGGCATTGTGCCTCAAGCTTGTGGGATGCCCCCCATCGCACTCGCCCGTCCGGTAACCTCATTCATCCATTCATTCTTCCCCTCTCTCTTACGTCATGTCCTCCTCCTCCTCCTCCTCCTCCTCTTCTCTATCGTCCTTCTCTCTTTCCCCTCCTCTCTCCTCTCTCCTCTCTCCTCCCTGTACCTTCCTTCCTTCTTCGTCTGTCCTCCGTTCTCCATGCTCCATCCTCTGTCCTCCGTCCACACTTCCCGCTCTCTCCTCCCTCCTCTCTCCGCCGTTTTCCCGACTTTGCCAAGTGTCTGCGATCTGGCTAAAGGTGGCTCAAGACATCCCAATGAAAGGGCTGCGAGCAGGTCAGAGATGCACATGAGACGGCCCGTGGCCCGAAAGACGGCTCCACGAGCCCCATCCTTGTCCCAGAGGCCCCACAGACGCCCCAACGACGGCTCAAGATGTCACTAGCACGATGCCGAGACGGGAAACGTGGTTGTGTTCGGTATCATATTATGGGAGCTATGTACACTCTCGCATTTTCGTCTTTAGAGAGCACTCGCGTCGATTAGCGTCTGGTAGTCGATGGGAACGCGCCGACTAGCGCCGACTAGCGTCGAGGTTGCCTCGAGGTTGCGTCGATTAGCGTTGATCCGCGAGAGCCAGCATGATGGTATCGGAGGCTGCCACCGAAGTTTTGTTTACGCTTCGGCAGCAAGACAGGAGCGGGGCACCACCAGCTGAGGGAGTTTCGCCAGCTCTCCCTCTGCCGTCTTCCTCCTCCTCCTCCTCGTCCTCTGCTTCTCCTCCGCTTCCTCCTCCTTCTCCTCCCGCCCCTCCTGTCCTCCTCCTTGTCGTGGGGCGGGCGTGCCAGCCTTTTCGGCTTTTGGATCGCTCCCAACCGCCCGAGAAGCCCGGGCGGCAGCGGTGGCGGCGGTCCCAGAGAGGCCCCCGAGCAGCCGTGGCAGCGAGGGCTCTCCGCGAGGCCCTCGAATGCCCAAAGGTCTCGATCCTGGACCCTCGATCCCTCATCCTCCCTCCTCGATCCTCGACGACTGCGACGACCTCGACGACGACGACGACAGCCACGACGACGACGACCTCCGACGGCCTCCAGAGGTCACGACGATGACGACGACGACGTCGACGACGACGTCGACGATTGCTGTGTCCGCAGATCTCTGGAGGCCCTCACAGGCCCGCGGACGCTTCTGGATGCTCCCGAAGGCTTCATAATGGCCAAGCACGTCGGAAGACGTGCAAACCCGTCCACGGACGACGATGACGACCGGCGGCGGCCTGGGCGGCACTGCCCGGCGGCCTGGAGCCTCCTTGGGCATTCCTCGGTCATTGTGGCAGCCTTTCGGGCGGTCTGTGAAGTACGGTCCCGCGCCCGCCACCAAAGCCCGGAGCCACGCCCGAGGGGGCCCAGCGCCCCCCGCTCTGTCTTCGACAGCGGATTTGGAGTCGGCCAGAAGCTATGAGCGTGCGTGGCTCTAGTTTGATCTGGTATTCATTAATGTATTTATGTGTCGTTCTGCTTATGCATTCATGTATTCTCGTATGCTTTAATGTTTTACCTGCTCATCTCTTGATGTATATACTGTTTGTTCATTGTTAGGTCGGAGGTGAGGGGGTGAGATCGAAGTGGAACGGAGAGCCCCCCTACCAGGAGATCGGTTTCGGTTTCGTGTTCGTGCGTGCCGTGCGTGCGGGCGAGGCGAAGTTGCGTGGGCGGGCGAGAAGAAAGTCTCCTCCGGCTGAGGCGCGGCCGGACCAAATCATTCCTTTCCGGGGGCCGGTGGCCCGCGGTGTCCCGCGGTGTCCCGCCGGTGTCCCGCCTCAGGCTGAGGCGCGGCCGGACCAAATGATTCCTTTCCGGGGCCGGTGGCCCGCGGTGTCCCGCCGGTGTCCCGCCGGTGTCCCGTCGGTGTCCCGATGATGATGATGATGATGATGATGATGATGATGATGATGATGATGATGATGATGATGATGATGATGATGATGATGATGATGATGATGATGATGATGATGATGATGATGATGATGATGATGATGATGATGATGATGATGATGATGATGATGATGATGATGATGATGATGATGATGATGATGATGATGATGATGATGATGATGATGATGATGATGATGATGATGATGATGATGATGATGATGATGATGATGATGATGATGCTGATGATGCTGATGATGATGATGATGATGATGGTGGTGGTGGTGGTGATGATGTTGATGTTTTTGATGATGATGGTGATGATGGTGATGATGGTGTCCCGATGATGATGATGTTGACGATGATGATGATGATGATGATGATGATGATGATGATGATGTTGCTGATGATGATGGTGTCCTGATTATGATGATGTTGATGATCCTGATGATGTTGATGACTATGATGGTGAAGATGGTAGTGGTGTCCCGATGATGATGATGTTGATGATGATGCTGTTAATACTGATGATGATGATGATGATGATAATGATGATGATGCTGATGCTGATGATGATGATGGTGATGGTGATGATGATGATGATGATGGTGATGATGATGATGATGATGATGATGATGATGATGATGATGATGGTGTCCTGGTGGTGATGATGATGATGATGATGATGATGATGATGATGATGATGGTGTCCCGATGATGATAATGTTGATGTTGATGATGATGTTGATGATGATGATGATGATGATGATGCTGATGATGATGATGATGATGATGATGATGATGATGATGATGATGATGATGATGATGATGATGATGATGATGATGATGATGATGATGATGATGAGCTTGTTCTTGAAACGCTGTTGCCCGTCTGTCCTTCCGCGGCCCTTTTTGGGCTCCGACCAAATTCGCTCAAGCTTAATTCACGGCGGCCCATGTCAGCTGTTGTGCAGGCCTCGCTCAGGGCGGCGACCTGGCTCGCAGACCGCGTGCTCGAGAGCGCGGTGGTCTCAGAGGCGGGTTCTTGTGCGGTCGCTGTGCAGGTGTTCGGCGGCGTGCGCGTCTCCTTCGGGACCGTGCTGATCGGAGGAGTCCTCGTGGGCGTGCTGATCGGAGCCAATGGCTGCTGCTGCGGCCTGGGCGATCGGCGACCGCATCGAGGTACAGTGGCGTGCAGGCGGGAGCTGGCAGGCGCGCGTCGTCGTGGGTTTCGCCACCGCCGCCGAGTTCACGACAGTGATGGGGACAGCTCCTCCGGCAGGAGCGGAGGAGAGGCGAGATCCTGTATATGATCACGCCCGACGGCGACATTTATCCCCACGTGCTGCACACCGACGTGATCCAGGGCGCAGCGAGAGTCCTCCCAGGGCAGAGGGACCGCGCGTCAGTGGTTGGCACGGCCCCAGCCGCCAACGCGAGGTCGTACGGCGCCGACTGGACACCCGAGCCACGGGAGTTCCTGGAGGCGGTGGCGGCCGCGTCGGCACGGTCCTTCGCCGAGGTGGGGTCGACGCTGAGACGCCCATCCTTCATATCCACATGGGGGTGGCGGAGACGGGGGGGGCGATCAAACCGCCGCTGAGTGAGCCAAGGGGTGTTCAAAACACAACCAAACACGCTCAAAACACAACCAAACGCACGCGGCTGCACAACAATGCGCAACGTCCATGGATGCCGCTATGGAGGAGGGCCGCCACGCGAGACCACTTCGACGCAGCGGGTCTGTAGAATGGGCGCTTTGCAACAATATTTCGGTGCAATCACACAACAGCGTAACATATATAACGACGCAGAGGTTTCGTACATTTACACAAGCGAACCGCCGCCAGAAGCCTGATCGGACCCCTTGGCGGTATCCCCAAGTCCACTGCGCCTGCAAGCATAAACCAGTCGCAAAATGACGACAGCAACGCATCGTTCCTGCAACGCACAACGTACCACAAATCCGGATCATCATTATTTCGGCATGTGCATCTGTATTTGCACATGCACATGTGCATATGTTTGTGCGTTTGCACTTTGCAAGCCCCCCGGAGGACGAGCCCCCCGAGGCATCCAAAGGCTTCCAGACATCCCCGACGACCCCCGAAGAGCCCAAGCAGACACCAGGGACCACAAAGGGTCTCCGAGGGCTGCCATGGACCTCCGAGGATCGCAAGGGGGATTCCCGGAGACCACCGAAAGCCGCCCGAGGCAGCCGAAGCCCCCCGAAACCCACCGGCCCCCAAGACGATCACCAGGACCGCGAGCCCTGGCGGCTTCCAAGGGCCCCGAGGACCCTGGAAAGGCTCGGGGCTTCCGAGAGCCTCCAGGGGCGGCCGACAACCTGCAGAGGCTTCGGACATACGCCGAATACCTCGCATGACTGCAAAGGACTCCAGGGACGGCCCTAGGAGGAGCGCTGGAAGCCTCCGACGGGGCCACGCCGAAGGGCTTCCCACCGGCGCTTCGGGGGGCCCGCCCTCCCCCGAGCAGCGGGCCCAGGGGGCAAGAGGGGCGGGCGCCGGCCAACCGCCGCCGCGACGACGACGACGACGACGACAAGGGGGAGGGGGGAGGAGAGGGACGGAGGGAGGGAAGGGGGGAGGCAGGAAGGGAAGGGGAGGGAAGGGGGGAGTGATGTAGGGAGGGATGGAGAGTCAAGGCGGGGAGGGAGAGGATGGAGTCAAGGCAGGGAGGGAGAGGGTGGACGGGGACCCTATCCTCGATTACCTCGAGAGGCAAGGAAGCGGGTCGGGGAGCCGAGGGCATTCCCAGGGACGTCGCGAAAAGGTCTTTTGAGAGAGCAACGGCCCATCAGGATGCTGTTGTGTAGTAGCGCTTTCTCATGGTAAGCTATATTGAGAGGAATTGAGAATATTTGAGAGATTTTGAGGGGAATTGAGAGAAATTGAGAGAAATTAAGGTATAATATCCCGGTGGCGACCCAAATTGAAAGAAATTGAGACAGAAAGGTTCGCTGGGTGAGAAACTTTGAGACAAATTGAG